TCCTCAGAGTCTGAATCAGTGCTTACAAAATACGTAATACTTCTTGAACTTGTAGGGCTTGATGGAGATACTGTTGACAGACATACATTTGATGTACTTGAGTAAGATATATTTTTCTCAGAAGCTGTAGTTTCAGCAGAGTGTATTTCTTGGAATGACTGATCAGAGCTGATGTTGAGGTACTGTTCAAAATCATTCTTCTCCAGTGAAGCAAACCCTGTGTCAATAATATCAAGAGATATATCCCTGTCATGAATATGAACTGCAGAAGCTGTATCATGAGTCACTTGTGCCTCATCTTCATTTTTAACATCTATATTTAAGATGTCATCATCAGAGCAATAGAGGATTGGTTCCTCTTTCTTTGAGATTATTTTAGCATTCTTATCTTGTAACAATAAAGTTCCTTTATTGGCCACATCCCTAATAAATCCCTCAGCATTTGTTTCAGTAGCCACAGGTTCATAACTGAGGTAAGTCCGAGTCACACCGTACTTCTCAGTTTCTAGTGGACTTGCAACTGGTTCAACTTTGAAATCTCTTTCCTTTTCATGTTTTCCAGAAACGTGGCTTTTTTTGCTTGATCCCTTAGATAGTTTTCTCTGTTTCTTCCCAGACTTTTCCCGTTTTACTTTGTGTGTTGACTTTGATGTTACTGCCTCTCTATCATTTCCTGACAACACAAAAGTCGGATATGGTTGATCCTCTTGGACAATTGCCAGAGAGTGGTATGCTCCACATGCAATTGCTGTAACATTTTTACCAATCAAACCATCTATTTGTTTAGGAATATTAGTTCTGTCTGTCTCAACACCATGTCCCAGTTGACAACCAGTTCCCCAGGACCAGACTTCACCTTCACTTGAGAGTGCAAGTGAGTGGCTGTCTCCACATGAAATCTCAATTATGACAGGTTCCCTCTCCTTGTTACTATCATTTTGTTGTGTTTCTCTAGCATCAGAGATGCTACTCCGTTCAAACCGTACAGGCGAAGGAAGGTTAACAAGGTTTGTTTCATCGATGCCGCATTGTCCCCTAGATGAATCTCCCCAGAAAAAAACGTCTCTGTTGTCACATATGACGCCACTGTGTTGACCACCACAACTTATTTCATGTACTGGTTTGTCACGCAGATAATCAATAACTGTGGGCTCCCTACGGGATTTAAGATCACCAAGGCCGAGCTGGCCGAAAGAGTTATCGCCAACTGAAAGGACTTGAGAGTTGAACGTGAGAAGTAAAGTGTGGTGATTTCCTAAGGCTACCTTAGATATTCCTTCTCTGAACGCCACACTTCGAATGTGCGGTTCTAGGTTCGTCGATCTCCAAAAATAAGCAATTCCTCTAGTAAAATCATCCTTCACGTCCGCTTCCTCGTTTTCTTCTGTCTGATCCATAGATAGTAACGACGTCTTTCCTTAAATTTATAACCAAACGAATCTATTTTGATCAAACCACTAAACTACCGACAATACCGGCTATAACCTGGTTGTGGTGTAACACATCATATTGTATCCACTAGACAATTTGTAAACAAAAGTACGATTTACATAACGCAACGATTATTCGTGCATGAAGAAGCCGGGGTAGGTTTCTAAAGAAATTGTGGTGCCGCGTCAGTAGGTGGGTATTTATAGGATAATTTGGTTTTACCAACTAAATTAACCATCTTTAGTTCCTACAGCGTAAAGCTGACGTTTAGTTCCTCAGTGGAGCGATTCGTTTTAAATCGATAGAGAGGATATCCAATACTTGAAGCTCATGTAATTAAACAGTAGGACGTTTGTAAAGTAGGCCTTGTAAGCTATGTTACTGATACTTCATCGTAATTAATCGTCACAGTAGGAAGTGTAATAAATGACCACATCATCTCAACCAACACATGAATATTCATCGATTTATTAGGAATTCTTTCTTTTAGGATGTTATTATCAACAGTAACAAGGACTTTTGGAACATCTAAGAAAGCCCACTTGTGCAATACGATTGACCTTATATCACCTTGAGTTGTCAGCGAGTTATGCTCTATCTTGAGTTGCAGAATGCCCTTTTAAAATCCGAACTGAATCTGAAGAGAATACTACGTGCTCGTATACATTTTTTTCGAACATTTTGTTAGTTAGAGTTGAAAGTTCAGAAATCAGACGACAACTGAAGTGATCAAAATTTTCCTTCCCTTCCCCCACCTCCCTTATCAAAAATTTTGACAAAAATTGGAAAAAATACCTTCTTGCAGTCTTTGGTTGGTATCTACTGTCAGCACTTCATAAAGGTAATGAGATGCAAATTTGACAAACTTAATGACGCGAATGCCTTAGTCGATTTTACTACAGCAGATTGATAATTTTGTCACAGAGTTTGCTTTAGAAATATCATGAAACATAAGAATATTCACAAAGAGGCAGCTGATGCATGTTCGCTGAGAGACCATTGTCAATTGCTGATTACTCATTTGCCAGAGTTTTCCCAAACTCGATAAATAGATTGTGCGCTGACAACCAGTCCTTGGTTTGCCTATTATTGAAGGATGTATTTCTAATTGAGCTTTGAGAACCATTTCCTTTTCTGTTTATTCGTGTTCCTCTAAATGTTCAAGTGCTTTTGATTTTATCTCTATCGACTTAAGTCGATCTGTCTGCCTCACTGGGTAAATTTTACACGCAACTTTAAAATTTTAGTTTCGCCTATTACTGCACTTTAGTTATTTACCCAGTTACTCAGGTAGTCGTTATCCCGTTCTGAAGTGAGGTCTAAATGGCTTATGCTTGCCTTCAGTGAAAACTAGATGAACTGTGGATACCCACGTTCTTCTGCCGCCTCAAAGCCTTCCAAACCGGAGCATGACGGTCCACCCTCACCACATCATTTACAATGGTTTTAAAATCAAAGCCAGATAAATCTTAAAGGAATGCATCATGGGAGAGGTGCGAAAATTCTCAAAGATATTCAGTGAAATGTTTTAGCTATCGTGGAGAACACTAGGAGGTGGTCCAAAATTTCTATCCAGCAAATACCCGATTGAAGATAACCCTTTAACTATTATTAGAGCACAAGATCGTATAAGTGTTAAATGACGGAGAAGGCGCGATCCCTTTGTTATAGCTGGTAAAACACCTAAATCAAATACCTTGTCTGAGTATTTCGAGCTTTGCGTGTCCTCGTTATACTTAAGAAAAACTACATTGACATCTCCAAGGAACTAAAACCTTCTTCCCTTACTTTTCAAACTCTGTAATAGCTTTTCAATGGTTGTATGAAGTGATGGCCCATCACCTTTCGGAAGTCTATGTAAAAAGCCAACAACGAGATTTCTTCTTTTCTTGCGAAATGCAGTCTAAACTGTATTAAGCGGCACCGTATTAGGCGGTCACCCCGTATTAAGCGGTCACCCTGTACTAAGCAGTTGGTTTTCAAATTCCAGAAAATTTGTTTCCCCTTTAATCACTGTAATTTTCACCTCTATTGAGCGGTCGCGGTTACCTTTGAGTGGGTCGCAACGGCCTGTTTGTATTGTCCTCCAGCTGTATTCGGAGGGCACTGAAAGCGGAACTGTTCAAGTAAAACTAAGAATTATCTTTCAAGTAAAAATTTAGTCCATATATCTCTCATTCTATCTACCTTTTCACGCAAGTGTGAAGGAATATTTAGCGATCACTTTTTTTTTTTTTGTGAGCTGCTGCGATATTTTCCTTCTCTCTCCTGAAACTTTCTGTGAGTATCGTTCATCTTCCCCGATCGCTTGAAAATGAAAAGAATAAGAGCGAGGAAGAAAACGTCAGGCTAATGCAGGATCCTAAAAGATCCACCGTAACCATAGTCGCTGCAGAGAAGTTGTAGGATGTAGAACAGCACCGGCTGTTTTACTGCCAGTGGTGGGATGAAAAATAATATTAAAACGAATCTCGAAGGCTACATGAGGGGTGATAGAAATTTTCACCAATTTTACAGCGGAATTTTGTAACTTCTAATGGCTCGCATAGGATTGAAAGTGGATAGGAGGCGAAAGTGTACTTGGTTAAGTTGCGATTCAGTGCTTGTCCTCCATGGTCATTTATAAGAACTAGTTCAGTCTGTTACTGGAAATTAGGTATTGAAATGGGCTCCTTACAATATGTGTAGTTAATAATACAAGTATAGCAGACTATTCTGATCTAATGAACTGCAATTTTATTCTGTAATGATTTGCACCGAAGCGTCATTACCTAACGCAAGTGCTTGTGCTTTCTACTCCACGGATTTACTCATTTTTAACATCTAAGTCGTAGCTTTATCTTCTAGAATGATCACTGAACAACAAATGGCCAAAGTGGTCACAACTGGACTTCAAAATTCTGAAATTTTGTATATCTATCATTATCTTTTTTGGGACATTTTTAACCGTATCACGATTAAGACAGCAACTAAGAGGCTAAAGGATTAATTCAAAATGATCTTGACCTCTTCAGTCCCGGGGGTCATCTTAAAAGCTGAACATAATAAATACAAGCGACGTAAAATAGAAATAAGGCATGCACATATGGTGTTAATGGAAAACGCTTGAAAACGTTCAGAAATGAAATCATAAGTTATTTTCACTTCGATCCTAAACTCTGCAACAAGGCCAGCGGCTTCTATCCTACAAAATCTATACATATCGCCGACAGTTCTATAAAGATAAGGTCTCGCACTGAAACACCCTTCACTTGGAGCAAAGGATCAATTCAAGGATAAAATGGTACTCCATAAATACCAAAAACTTCTATATGCTAACTCTATGTAAGATTCCCATACACCTTGAAACTGCCACTGACGCTGTACTTATTACCTTACAGTGCATTAATTCATTCAAAGCCCCCCCCCCCCCAAAACACCCCATTGAGATCTTGAACTCCTTCCCCCGCTACGTCTACTGGTCCCATGGAGAGAGATAAAATCTATCATCCCCTTGGCTTACAACGTTTATAGCCATGTCACAACTGATAATTTCGTTGAATCGTGAAGCAAAATGAAGTAAAATGAAGTAATTGACAGCCTCTACATTTACTCAAAGTGCAATTTTCATGCTTAAACTTATAATGCCGATTGTTTGAAAAAGGAAAGACAACTCTCAACGGAGACTTGAAGTATCATAAATTATATTAAATATCACATATATTTATAAGAAATAGTATTCTGTGACTTGAGCATATCAGTTACAAACAAGCTACTCTTTTGGCAGCGCACACGGTAACTTGTTGCGTCAGCCCAAAGAAATGGCTTGATACAGAAAAATTAATCTATTGAGTGTTTTCCCACATTTACAAAGAAATAAAAATTGTGCTTCAACTATAACTAATAGTTTCGCGACCTTTGAGATTGGTGTTATTTCCAGCGTACTTCACAAAAAATTATCAATAAATGGCTTTCCCTTTATTAACTTTAACGAACAAAGTGATCACAATGAAAAGGAGAAAAAACTGATGTAGCTGAAAATTGAATCCCTTTTACCTTTTCTATTAACGTAAAATGACTCAAAAAAAATTCCCGTAGACTAACCTGAACTATTCCTAACTACTTCATTCAATACTTATTCAGATATAATTCTAATGCATTGCAAAATTTGCGTTCACTGGTGTTCCTTATCTAATTGCATAAACATTAATTCAAAAATTGAAATTGTTACTTATTTGCTAAAACAATCTAATTCAAACTACAACGATTTAGAATCTAAGACAGCAATGTTTCATTTGACATTATCTGTTAACTCTATGGTTTCATTAAACTTTCCTTTCTACGTCTAAACAACTATTATATAAATTATTCACCAAGCGTTTGACAAAATTACTTCATGAAAATTATTTAAATAAGTCGTTTCTCGGATCGCCGGTTAAATCTGTTGATGATGATGAGATGTAGTTTGTCGTGTTAAATTTTATCTGGGTTCCGTGCCGCCCTACGGAAGGAAAAAAAGAGATTCCACATAAGCGAGAAATAAAAAGTCACATTAGAAAAGAAAACATTGTTTTATATTTTCAAAAATAAACTGTGAATAACCGAAAACATAGCTAGTTAGAGATTAAAAAAATCTGTATCCAGTCTCCTTCAAAGGACACCCTGATGATAGGGCTTAAATTTTACATTTCTTGGTCTTGTTAGACAACATACCTTTCTTGTCAAAAATCAGATCAAATTGCACAGAAATCGTCAAATAAGAATTTTCGACTGCATATCGTCGTTTGGAGGATTGCGTTTCAAGATTGAAAGTTTTTTCACCCTGACTATACTGACATAAAGCACTTCAAGTCGGAAAGCGAGACAATATCCTTCACCCGTCAGGGTTAAATAATTAATCATGAAATTTCAGTTATCAAAGACAGTTACCCTGGAGAGCCCTCATGGGAAGCAAATGGCGCAATCAGAGTCCTTTTCACTGGAGTGCTGACTCTCTCAGGTCCAGAGCCCCCCATCCACACTGGCTGACGAGGCTCAGCTGTCCTGGGTCTTGGCGGCCCATCAACTTGAGAGGTAATAGGGCTTCTGAAGCTATGTAAGGTGTAAAAGGCACAGTTAAGCAGACTTTCCTGAACTAACCTAACCTAAACAGTTTCAGAGAAGGAGCTCATGATTTTTTTACCCACTGTATTTTTACGTACTATTTTTAGACACTGTTTTCACAACAAGTTCAAAATTATACATCAGTGCTAATGATCATAATTTATCTTTACAAATACAGCTGCTAAGTTTCTCAGACATTTCACCATCTCTCTTGTAAGTCACAACACCACAAAATAGGGAATTGATATAAACACGTAGAGCCAATGTTATACTCATTCAAAGATTGTTTCCTACCTCCGTAGACTTCTGCGTGATTCTTGATCTGTGAACGAAATAATAAATACGTGAGCAGATTACCGCCTGCTCTATTACTGCATGACATGTTTCCTACACGCCATAACTGGAAATTGTGCCACAATTCAAACAAAGAAAATACAATTTACAAACCTCTTCTGAAGTTACTCGTCTCGGGCATTGTTAACAGATCTGTTCATAAGGAAAATAAAAAAGTAAATAATAAGAGCTTGAGTAACCTGATGTGAAAGGTGGAATTATGCAACAGACGGTTGCTGAATAGAATGAACAATATGAACCCACTCCAAACTGTTTTAATAAATCAAATTAGAGAATTACAAGCAAGGAGTTCAAAGTACTCCTTAGGCGATATAAAGGCTGACAAACCTTTGTGGTGACCACCTTTACGAGCTATACCAAGATAGTCAGATACTGGACCTCTGTGCCGCATACTTGCACTTCGCCTTAAAGACGTATTGGGTTCTACCAAAAACACAAATGTCACGTTAGTAAGGGTGTACGAGGTGGTTCAAGGAGTGTCAAACAATAGATTACTCTAAAGCTGTTGTTTAATCTCTTCAAGCAACGTGGTTAGGGGAAGGTGATTAGAGATGGAGGCCAAAAAAATGGTTGTGAAGGAGACTAGGCTGACAATAGACTTGTAAGATGATTTATGTTTCAAGGGTTGAAACAATATCCAATTTGCATAGCAGTTAATATGATAAAATAAGAAATGGGCAGTTGAATATCACCCGTTTATCTCAGCCACTCAAATCGCGTACAAAGTGTGTCACGACGCAAATCTTCAGTGTAAAGTTTTCTCTCAAAATCTGTTTGATGTCTTACTTTTGGATCTTTCACCTTTCACCTCAAGGCTGTTGCATGTTAAAGGTGGCTTGAATTAGTAAGGTGCCTCAAAATGGTGTCCTTATCATTAACCATTTAGCTCCCAAGATCGCGGCATTAGTTTTTCTCCTAACTGTCTGCCAAATGATTCTCATTATGTTAGTTTGGAGAATTTAGTATCGGATCAATTAGTTATCCCATAATTGATACTTTTCTTTATTCTCATCACTTGTTTGCATGATACTGTATAGATATAGTAGGGGGAAATCCTGTCTTGGTCACTCGCGGGAGTTAAAGAGCTAAACACGATTCTCTGATGGATCGTAGTTTCCAAGCTGTTCCTCGAAATTAGTTAAAAAAAATACCCAATTATTTCTTAACAAATTGTAACAATAAAGGACACCATAGCAACACTACATCCTCTGATAGACACCTTTTTTGCTTTATGTGCCTATAGCTCAAAACGAGCCTGGCGACTCCATTTCTTATAACTGAATTTCAGTTGCTATATTAAGATAAATCTTTGAGTGAAGTTAAAAATATGTACATAAAGTGTAGAGTTAGACTGTTCAAGGTAGCTCTAAACTACGAAACACTATGACGAGAAAAGTACATCACTAAGTCATACAGTTCTCGAGGTAAAACTAACCAATTTTTCGTGAACTATCCATTGCATCAGAACGGTTTACAACTGAAGAGTCAGACTGTCGTGGGGAGTTGTTGAGAAGATCTGCCATTTAAATTCACCCAGTTAGGCAATTAATCAAAGCTAATGAAGGTTCAAACCGTATATCACTGTTATCTGAATGTCTCTTACCTGGATGGCCTCCACCTTTTCTGCCAAGTCTGAGGTATTCCGTGGAGTCCCTACTCGAGCTACTTACAGTCCTGGGGCTGTTTACCGGGATTGCATCTAAGAAGAATCACAATGAGTACTCAATGACTGACCGTTTTTCTCAATAAAATCTAAGGATCATAAGTCTGAGATGCAAAAAGGGACTGCCAGAAATAGAAAAGACAAGATTTCTGACGGACTGCATTACTGTTCTGAAAGAGGATTATGGCGAACGAAACCCTTCACGTTGAGTGGTACTTTCATTCATTTTCAATAGTGGATTATCATGTCAACTAATTTCAAAGAACGTTTCCCGCACAGTTAAACTTTATGACGAAAGGGAAGGATGTTATCCACCTGTATTTTGCTTCTTTACTTGATTTTGCTTCGGGCTGGCTTGGTGAGGTGTCATCATAAGTAAGTCTGTAACCGATACATTTAAGAAAATGTTAATCATTCAACAACAGACGAGGACTAGCACGAAGTCTATCGCTATCGCAAAGGCAACAACTCCCTTTACATTATGAAATGAGAATGGCCAAGAATGTGATGTTTCACTGAAATACAATGAAGTCCTCTGAAAGAAGCACCCTCCAAAGGTGAAGCTAACGTGGTTGTACGCCGAACGCCAGTAAATTAGCAGCCAGTACAATTTTCTCGACAATATGTCACTGGTTCTCGTTTGAACGCGCATAAATATTCTTTGCCTTATAGAGATATTCTGTTAGTAGTCCAAGTTCCCCAAAATAAAAAGACCTGTGATGTACCCATCTTAATTGACCGATTGAGACCTACACATTATTTTTTGTTAATAAGAAACAAGTCAGAGAAATGATAGATATACAGTTTAAAATTTTCTTTACGCTACTCCACAGAGATTGTGAAGGTTGCTCAATCCGCAAATGACGAAGATTGCTTTTTTTTTAATCCTTAAAGAAACAGCAAATTCTAGGTATCTAAAGGTTGCCTGTTCCAAATTGTGTGTGAACAAGAACATTTTACTGGTTTCAGAATTGTTTTGAGTCCCTCCTAACTTTCCCTAGTACTTGAATAATCCCGACCGAAACAGAGACGTTACCTTCACTTATAGCAGGAATAAAGCACTCAGGATTACAAGTCAGCTTACCATGGAGGCAAACCCTTTTGTCAAATGAAACTTTCATTACAGCTTTTATCTTAAGACACTCCTGTTTGTATACCTTTATGTCCTCCTCCTTTCTTCGCCATTTTCAAGTATTCACTGGAAGCCGGTGAACTGTCCACGTTTGATTTTCTTGGACTATTAGCGGGAGATTCTGTAGAAGCGAATTGTTATTGTCATTAATGAGAAAAATAAAAACACCAAAAGAGAAACAGGTACATGTAGTTGACATTGACTACGAAAGGAATTAATCACTAATCATTAATAATCACCACTTGTTACATTGAGATAGGTAAGAACCAGCTACATATGGAAAACTCTCAGTTGAAGAACACACCTTTCCTCTGAAGTGACTCTTTGCCATTAATTCCATCGTGGTAGTACCAGTCTCCGAGCTTACTTTCTGAATTCCTGGGGGTGGGACTGGGTTTATGACCTTCAGTTGCTAAAAGGTCTACAAAAAACACAGTTATAACCTCTTCTTAACTTCCCTAGCTTCCCTTTTTGTACCGTTATTATTACCTCTGGGTCACGGCAAATCTAGGCCAAGAATTAACAATTACAAAAGACTGTCAAGCAGGTTGAAGCCTTGTAATTTAAGCCAACATCAGCAGAGAAGGTTAGAAATATTTTACACACAATACAGTCACTTTCCCTTATCCCTACAAAATGTTTAGTCGTACCGCTCCTGGCTATGTACACAGCCTGTGTTTGACCCACGAATAAAAATAACTTTTTGAAGCCTTTTTAAGCGACTCAGATCTACGGTTCCCACAAGGGAAAATTTGGGGGGATGGAGACTTCATCTCCTAACATTCATGAAAAATATACTGTTCACTTGGTTGCCAGCTACTACGAGGTGACTATTTACCTTTGTGGCCCCCTCCTTTCCGTGCTCTCTTAAGATACTCAGTTTCAGTGCTGGTTTCTTTCGGGGGGTCACCATTTTGATTCCGAGTTCCTGAAAATAAAAACAAACCAAGAAAATATTATGTAGCCCAAAAATGTTTGTAGATTCACATGTTTTCCTTTGGTTCTAAGAATCCCAATGATATCACCGTTAACAAACCGACTCTAAGAACATTGTCCAACGGATATGTCATTTTATATATATATTGAAGAGAGTATCTCTTTAGACTGTTTTGTCTCCTGCCAAAGGAAAGGATATATATATATATATATATATATATATATATATTGAAGAGAGTATCTCTTTAGACTGTTTTGTCTCCTGCCAAAGGAAAGGATATATGATATACAGACAATCAATAAAGTAGTACCTTTTTTCCCTCGCGTTTTACTTCCATCAACATAATCTTGATTGTACCAGTCCCCCCCTTTCTTTTGGTATCTCTGTGGCTTAGGAGATGGTGTGTGGGCCTCCATGGTCAACAGATCTGCGTGGAAAAATTCCCCTGAGTACAATAGTATGGATATGAGGCAATTCTCTATTCTTACATAAAGTGCGCTTGTTCTTAAAGGAATGCTGCATCGAATGCCACATCATTTACTCTTTACTAACCTGTCTTCAAGTTGGTTAGCTTTCATAAACCTGAGAATTTGGATGTACATAACCAAGATTCTATGCTGCATCATCACGGTCACCTCGTTTCACTGAAAATTTGCTATTTACACTTTATCTTTAAGTGGGTTCAGTTGATTTTTGTTTATCGATTCCTAACCTAACCAGAGCGAATTACTGTCAGTTTGGGCACAACAGGCGTAAGAAGTACGGAAAAGCGAAAGAAAGATGTTAAAAATTTGTCGCGAGCCCAATGAAAAAGACTTCTGAGTCACTCAAAAGGCTTCAAAAGCGCAGACCTCCCGTAACTGTTTTCCTCGAGTTTTTTCAACCAACTAACATGAATAAAGAGTTATACTTAGTTCAATCGGTGGCTGGCTCTTAATTCTGATCATAATAAAACCTATGGTTAGTATAACGAAGTGCTTTGAACACAACATGTTTTCGAATTGATCTCTTTTCGCAAATTATATTTATGATGCCAAAACGTTATTTCAAAATTTATTTAACATTACTTAATTATGCAAGCATTACACTACCATTTTCCGTAATGGGATTAACATTCTCTCTCGTTCAATGAATTACTTTTTCTTGTTTTGTTGGTGCTTCCTTTCACACCTCTTACGTCACTCTTTATATTATGGGTTAAATTAGTAATTAATAAGCCTTATGTATTCTATATACAAGGCTAAAAGGTTAAAAAATTAAATTGTTTAAACCAAACGTTTTCGGCTGTTTGCCATCATCAGGGTTAAAAAAACAAGATGACCGTCCACACGTACATATATATCTTCTGTAATTCCCGATGGGAAAAGTTTGGAGACATAAGAAATAACTTGTTTGTTCAAACTGGGGCGGAATTGTTGGATCATTAGTCCCTCGACGATCCTACGCTTGTGGAATGTTTGTGCTGAGGAGAGAACACGCCAAGTGAAAGAATGTGATGGGTTTTCTCGCAGGTGTTTTGCAGGTTCAGAGGTGTGAGCAGGATTTGAATGCTCCGCAATTCGTACTGCTAAGTTTCTCACAGTCTCGCCAATGTAATCAACGCCACAAGAGCAATCACCTTTGTAAACAACTTTGGATCTGTGAGTGTTTTTGTCTTTGTTGTTAAAGAGACTTTTGATTTGCCTTGTTTGCCACAGGATTATAAAGATGAAATTGAAATTAGTAAACTTGTTTAGTTTTTCAATAAACGCCTACTGAGTTTTTCGTTTTTACCGCAAAAAGGAAGCTTGATGAAAACTTTCTTTCGTTCTTCGAGGAGAAAATTCGGAATTAAGTTGTCATCTTGTGACGAGTCGTTTAGAAAGTTGTTGATTGTATGCGAAATAAAACGTTTCGGATAACCTGCATTGATGAAAGAAGTTTCTAGAGTTTTTATGTCCTTGTCAAAATCGGTAGAGATGCGTTTGGCTCTATGGAGTGCGCTAGTGATGCAATCCTTTTCCAATTCCATCTCTACCGATTTTGACAAGGACATAAAAACTCATCTTTTTAACCCTGATGATGGCAAACAGCCGAAAACGTTTGGTTTAAACATTTTAATTTTTTAACCTTTTAGCCTTGTTTATAGAATACATTTTACAAAGCGAACATTATGGACAATAAGCCTTATATCATATTACATATTATGTTAGCGCTACTACCTTTATGGCCTCCACCTTTTCTAGCCATTTTAAGGTATTCTGTGTTAGTGTTGTATACTTTTGAATTTTCTGTGTTTTTACGAGGACTTCGAGTTGCTGCTACGGAACAAAAAATGGCATTTCCATAAGTGTTGTTTAAAACCATTCACAGAAAGAAGAGCTGGGCGCTATTTCGCGACATTGTTGAGTTTCTAAACTATTGCAAAATCCCGTTCATAGCTGAGTCGTTGTAAAATGTACGAAAGGAGCCGATAAGGAATCCCCCCCCCTCCAATACCAAACAGTAGCCATAAATCGATACAAAAATTAGCAAGATTGATTAAATGCAGAGTTCTTTGCAGAATAGAAAAGGCACAAACAGACAAAGCTTTTCAAACTCCGTTTCAAAACGACTGAATCAACAACATACCAGAATGTCCGCCACTCTTCCTGGCCAACATTAAATAGTCCGTTGCACTGCTATTGTTGCCTTTAGATGGACTGGATGGGGAAACTGTTGCTCCTACTTACACAAGCAGATTGACATATAACTAAATAAATAATCTGGATCGTGAACTCAAACAGTTCATAGTGAGCATTAGTACAAAATAACTTTTTTCAAGTGCAAAAGCACTTCTTAAATGCACAGCAATATCGAGTAGGACTTACAAAATTCTGGATTATGAACAACAAAAAAGTGTGAATATATAAATGCTGATAACTAAACTCAACAATTGTTGAAAAAAGAAAAAAGAGAAATATCTTCCGCGAGATATTGTCAAATATACGAAAAAAAGACCGTTTTGAGAAATCCCTAACTGCATGGTAAGTTGTTGCTACGGTTTCTGTAATCCACACAACATGACAGTAAGACTGCAACATACTTGTTGTGTCCTTATTATTTTGACTGTACCAGTCTCCTCCATTCTTTTGGTATCTCTGTGGTTCTGGGGATGGAGTGTGTGGCTCAACAGTTAGAAGATCTAAAACAAAATTCAAATGAGTCAATCTTTACACAGTTCACTGCTGGACAGGTGTAACAATCTTATTACATTTTAAAATTTCAAGTATCCTCTTCACATAATTGTGTGTCGTTGGACAGATTGAGGAATGAGACCAGCGGAGCTGTCAGCACATGTAGTTAACTCTTATTATCATTGAAGATATCCTAAACAACAACAAAGAGTCCGCGACAGCAGGATTCTGCTTTCACATGGTGCCCAAAAACAAATTTTGATGTACATGAACAACAACATTAAGCAAGCATTAATCGTATTAGATCATTAGAAAAACGTACACAAAGAAAATTGTAGGGAATAACTTGTTCGAAATTAAATCGACGCAATTTGAAAGAATGCTTAGCGATAACTGTCACATTGCGATCTCTCACCTTTATGTCCTCCACCCTTTTTGGCCATCTTCAAGTAATCCGTTTCTTTCTGGGCGTTCATTGAGCCGGCCAAGTCTGATCGATGCGGACTTTTAGAAACCGTTACCATTTCTAAAAAAAGGAAGCAGGTTCATTCATTCAACACAGTTTGAGACCAAAGGACAATTTACAGTGTAAGACAGAGTATTCACCTTTTCTTTTTTGTGTTTCTTTGACATCCACTCCATCATGAGTGTACCACTGTCCATCCTTCTTGTCATATCTGACTGGTTCAGGAGTGGGTGTGTGGGGTTCTAGTGTTAAAAGATCTAAAACACATGGCAATGTGTTAGGACATAACTGAGAATCACTAAACAATTCTACTAATTTGCTCGCAGACTTGTGATTAAAATATACCTACTTTGAAGCGGACGTTTCTCTACTTTTTTTTCTTTTTGAGCAATGAGCCATTTTTTTAACAAAACATCTCTTATATAGGATTATTCGAATTCTTCAGTTTGCTATGCACAATAAAGCCATTTTTTGTTCACGAAAGTGTCTTGCTTTCTGTCTTAAAGCAGTCCAACATCATCCTTTATTGGTACTAATACAATTGTATCTAACGGAATCTATGCATCCTGTGTCCATATCACTCTTAGCATCAGAACTGGCAAAAATATTTGTATAAAACATAGATCGCTGTGTAAGGACTATTTCATCTCTATGCAACTAAAAAAGGCTAATTAAATAGTAACACTAAGTAACTACCAATTTCAAGAATCCAGCCTATTGGTTTAGACTAGTTGCTTTAGGCTGCCACTAACCTTTATGCCCTCCACCTTTCTTAGCAATCTTGAGATAATCAGTTTCTATGGGAATTTTTTCAGAACTTGGCGCACTCGATGGGCGTGGACTTGAAGACACTGTGACCATTTCTAAAAAATAAATATCGCGTCTAACTTTAAGTGAAGGAAATCAATTGAACCTGAGTGCATTTCGTAAATTATGAACATCGGTGATGTTTTAAACGCTTTCGGGTGACTAAACAACCCATGGGCGTGCGCAATTTTACAACCTATCAAAACATCATGAAGTGCACAAGCACTTTCTTATAATCTCGACAAAATCAATTGCCAATGATCAACATATACTAGCTATGAATTGTTTTTTAAAAACTCGACATTGAAGAACAAAACCAAATTACAACACTCAATATGTACACTCGAAGCGCACCCAAAATGGAAGCTGCACTTTGCACTCTAGGTCTTCAGTATCAATCAAGTAAATTGCTAAACCTGATCTGTTGCTAACAACAACAGAAGCTCAAAACATATGGTGTGAGTTTTGCTTCCTTCGATTTGCCTCTTCGAGATGCAGAGATCATTGCTTAGAATACAAACATAGAGATCACCAATGAAAAAAAAAACACATCTAGAGTTATACTTGTTGCATTAAAAATGTTTCCTAGAGAGCGTATACTACATTTTATCCCCCTCTTCCATAATTTTTTCCGATCCAATACACCGATCACAAACACTTTACTAAAGCTGGTAGACTAGCTAACATAATTATCTTGGGTTACGGTGACAAGCTTTATTAACGAAACACCAATCTCACATACACATTGTAACGCCAGAGAGCCAAATATTCTTTTTAGAAAAATCATCACATTTTACCGTAGGGAATTATGTCACAACTTTCCATTCTGATTTAATCATCACGACGTTCGATTTTTCACCACGAAGATTGACAAGGGAGTAAGAGGAAAACAGTTCAACAATTATCACAAAGTTCTAGCGCAGGTGGCTGCTCACGCGACCTATTCTCGAAAGTTGCAAGCTCCCTTAACAAACACCTTCGAGGGTTTCTGCCCATGGAAGCTTCAACAGTAATTGCTTTTCAAAATGCAAAGACTGACGAAACCTTTTTGATGCAAATGACAAATTGCTACCAAACCTTCTCAGTCACCAGATGGACAGACTGGAAAAGGAATTTTGCATTTTGGTGTAAGATAAATATTCTTACAAACATGTTCCCACTAGCAATTGTTGATTGAACAAAAATACATGTATTCGTGTTATCGTGCTAGCGACCAGACTTAACATTTCAGTTGCTAAAACTCACTTCTCACTTTCAGTGGTAAAACTGAATTTGAGTGTAACCAAGGATTGAAACCGTAAATATGAGGAAGCAGAAACACAGACATAAGGAGAGTCAATTCAATGACATTTGTCAACAATGCTTTCAGCCTTTCCAAGATTCTTCCAGAGGTTCAAACGATGCAGTAAATTCTTCCCAACACCTAATTAAACTCACCTTTTCTTTGCTGCGTGTCCTTAATGTCAACTCCATCGTGATTGTACCACTGTCCATCTGTTTTATCATATCTGACTGGTTCAGGAGTGGGCGTGTGAGGTTCTACTGTTAACAGATCTACCATAGAACAGTTTCCCGTTACTATAAACATAGAGTGCACCTTCTTTATGTTCCTGGATCTTCACAACGACTAACTAGCCCCAGCCTTATGGTAACAATTCACTTTGCGCTTGTAGGTTTTAGACTATCACTAGCCTCAATCTCTAGTTCAATTTTTTTAAAATAAATTGAAAGAAACCACAAATTCAGATTGGTTACCCTTGGCAAATAAATATATTTTCATATTTTTTTAAACTGCTCCGGCATATTTGCTAGGTGCACTAGCAAACCATTGCTGGCTCACTAGAAGAGATGTCTGACCAGGCTTGATAATGGAAACCCTGCTCGTTAACTTAGACGTCACGAGAACTACTATTAAGTACTCAAATGAATAGTATTATTATTTATCAAGTTTATAGAACAACCTTTATGTCCTCCGCCTTTCTTTGCAATCTTTAAGTAATCTGTTTCCGTGTCGACTTCCAATGAACTATCAAGGTTTGCTGGACGAGGACTGCTTGCAACTGTTACCATTTCTAATGAGAAGTTACACCAACAATGTAAGTGTCCATCACGTGGCATTCACTAATTTCCTCGAAATCCAATGTTTTTAATTAATGATGTTTTGTGATCAAGGCATGGAAAATATTTAAATTCTACCTTGCCCTTGGGGCAACTATTTTATGTCTCACTTTCTTGAGGTATTTTCCACAAGTGCCTGAGCTAGTTAATTATTTGTAGGGGAAAGAGAAAAGGAAATAAAAGACTTCTATGTTCCTACATCAACTATTTAACAAAAACTATTGAATTTGCAAAGCATGCTCACGTAATCTTGTCAAAACTTTTCATAAAAGCTTGTTGCCGCAGAGATTACACACAATAGTCAACTAGTTGCTTGATTTTCATTTCAGGCCACCTGATATTGCTTTGGATAATACAAAAATGTTCAAGTTCAAGTAAGAGAAAGAGTAAAAACCTTTTCTCTGTTGAGTGTCCTTAACATCCACTCCATTATGTGTGTACCACTGTCCATCCTTTTTGTCATATCGGACTGGTTCAGGTGTGGGTGTGTGAGGCTCTACTGTTAACAAGTCTAACAATATTATAACAAGAGAGCTTTTACCAACACTTTCAATTGTAATAAATTTTTGACATAAATTTTCCACAAGAACATTTATGGAGTTATTATGCATGCACCATACCATGAATGGTTTCAAATATTACCTTTACGTCCCCCTTGTCTGGCAGTTTTAAGATAATCACCATTGTGCTCTCCTGCAGCTGATAAATCTTCTGGAATACTTTCCAGGGTCACAGACAAATCTATATAAAATAACCAGATTCTTCAAATTTCCCTTGATTGGAATAATATGGGTACAGCACTCCTACATAAGCACTGAGCTGGTGCCTCTTGTTCAGAGAAATTGCAGTCATCGCAACATTTTACACTTTTTTTGAATGAGAGGAAAATCTTCCCTCAAAAATAAAATCAGTCAGTCATCCATACCTGTAAGGACACAGTATAAAATATACAATCTGAATGTTTAAACCTGTGGTTATCCAGTAAACAAAACACCAAGACTGGTATCAATATTGTCAAACTGTCTATACACATTCCCTCATGTGTTATGTTCTGTCAAATTAATTATTGATGAAAAATTACTGAATGTAAGGTCTTCATTACAGGTCTTGGAAAGAGCAAGTTACTTCAGTGTATTGTAGAGGGTCTCATAATCAACTGAATATCAAACTACCATTAACTCCCTATCCAACATTGATTGCAAAGAACTTGGGCAACAACTTGACTCATAGAGTTGTTGAAAAGTCACCAGCTGTATGAAACAGCTTCACAATTTTTGTGGGTGGGTTTACCTTTTCTCTGTTGTGACTCTTTTATGTCCACTCCATCATGTGTGTACCACTCTCCATCTTTCTTTTCATATCTGACAGGTTCAGGGGTGGGTGTGTGGGGTTGAACTAACAACAGATCTGCAAGCACAGATGCATAATGTACACTCAAAACATTTCTTACAATGAAAGTAAAGAAATTATTATCCAACGTTTCTTCTACAAGGCCATGTTTAGCTGTGAACAGCCTCAGTCTATGCCTAGTCACCTAGTTTGGAAGGATTAACCCTTCATCAAACCCCTTGACTGTTGCTGCAGATACCTCTACAGAGTGTGACTGTCAATGATGCGAGATTATCCTTAACTTTTTCATTTCAGCTGCAAAAAATCAAGAAACTACCTAATTTTCCTGACTGATTTACCAGTACGTTTTGGGCTAGACATTGGCCCTAGTCTCATATTCCCAGGATTTCTGCAACACTGCAAAAATTTACTTGCCTTTGAAAAACATTAGCCCATTTGTAACAAACATGTCTTTATTTTTAAAAGATATCAAACATATTCAAAGAATGTGATGTCCCACAATTATGTAAGCATGCTGTACAACTCATCAGTTACCTTGATGTCCTCCACCCTTTTTTGCCAACTCAAGATATTCTCTGTTATTGCATCCTGCAGCCATGACACACTCACTGTTCTTCTGATCATCAAGTGACACAATTGAGTCTGGACAACAAAATATCAAGCAATGATTGCATTCCCATCATTGATTAACATGCATAAGGCACTCTCTCTGTGCACATGTAATTTTCCATTAATTCCAACACAACCTGATTATGTATAGTAATGCTCAGAGACGCGTAAACAAACTATTGATAGTGTATGTAATTCAGCCTGGTTAGCATATATCTGAAATTATATATTTAGTTACCAAGCCTTTGATTTAGAGTGAGGCTGAAGGTGACCTTGTTGTGATAGAGACCAGTACCTAGTTAACATGATAACAAAGTAATTTACATTTGAAAAACAGCAATTTAATGCTTGTATCATAATACCCTTAGCCTCACTCTTGTCCAAAGGCTTGGCAACTAAGCATGCAACTGTAAAATGGACTATTGTGACCCACAGCTTTTTGCAATTTAACCGAGTAATTATCTATTATTATAGACTGGAACAATTATTTTCCCCTGATGACTCTAGCCAACCAAAGGTTTTCTTTTTTATCCACTATGAGAGGTAACTGTACACATACTTTGTGATGCTGCAGTTGAAACAAATAGCATCTCAATAAGTGATGAGATGTAAGATTCACATTCACATGTGCTGGTAATTAGATTACAAAAATCAGGATGGATGGTTCATGAGTGAATGTCAAGGAGAAGAAATAGAATCCACTGCCAGGAAAAGAGAGCCTAAGAGACAATTTTATCAATTAAAGTGGAAAACCCAGTGCTAACATTAAATTTAGACTTAACTTGAAAATACATACACTAAAATTTTTCAAAGTGTTAAAGCAAAAGATTTACTGCATGCTACATAATACTATTTACCTATTCGTTGCTGTGTCTCTTTGATATCCACTCCATCATGTGTGTACCACTGTCCATCCTTCTTGTCAAATCTTACAGGTTCAGGTGTAGGTGCATGTGGGCTTATTGTCAATAAATCTAACAAAAAAGAAAATACATGTGTAAGGGCTTTCCTAAAATTTTTTGAGGCTCTAAATATATGACTTGTACACTGTTTGCACAACAATAGTTAGTTTTATTACTAATTAATTAATTACTAGTTAATTTACTACTTAACCTTTTTCTCTGTTGAAGGCAAAATGTTTTTTTATTCTTTCACTCCTTAAATAATTATCTGTTGTATTCAGGTATAAAAACAAACAACAAGTTACCAGCATGTTACATGCAGTATCTTTTGTTCATTTACCACTTAATCAGCCTGTATTTTAAGTGAGTGTTTTCAAGCCCAAAGGCCCAATTGGTTTAATTCACAACTTAAAGGTTTCCTTGCCATTACTTCATGATTCTACATTGCCATATTAATTTAAAATACTGTGGATACATACACAAGGCAGCAAACTACAGAAAAGATACATCAAGTAAAATAATGAGCCTACCGTTGTGTCCTCCTCCCTTCTTTGCCAAGTCAAGGTACTCTGTGTTGTTTCCTCCTGCTGCTAGAAGTGTTTTTGTGCCTTGTTGAGCTTCAATAGATACAGCTAATTCTGTTCAACAAACACAACACCAACCACATAAATAGACAAATATATCTGGATTTCTCATTTAGTGATACCCTCCATGACTTTGTGATGGTAATACAATCAAGAATACTTTTACAATATGTTTTGGCATGACTACAAATTATGACTAGATAGGGAAGTATAAATGACTGAAAAATTAAAATACTCTCTGTGGTAGACATAAACATGCAATTCACTGCAGTAACCTTTTCTTTTCTGTGTTTCTGTGACATCCACTCCATCATGTGAGTACCACTGTCCATCTTTCTTGTCATATCTGACTGGTTCAGGTGTGGGTGTGTGAGGTTCAACTGTCAGCAGATCTATCACAGTACAAACAATTATGTCAATGGATCACAACAACTGGTGGAACAAAGACAAAAACAACACATTATATACAAAGGCTTGTAGCCTATCAATTCCATGGTAAGTTTGTTCTGCAAAACATTCAGTGTGTTCCTCTTCAGAATTAGATATTTCTACCATTATAACCTATTCAGTTAAGATTTTCACATTTTCCTGCTCTTACTTTTGCAAATGAAGGAAGTACAACTAGAAGTCAAGAAAAATGTTAAGATTAAATCTATCTGCATGGTTGTAAATCAGGAGAAAGAAACATCATTTTCATCCATAAAAACCACATTGAACTGACACCTGAAACACCTTTAACCCATTATGCTAGGTGTTTGTCTCATGCAAGCAACACTAAAGCCCCTTCATCTAACATTGCAGAATCTGCCTCTTGCAAAGTGTCACAAATTCCCAACAGCAAATGAACTAAACTTGTTGAAGTCAAGCAGGCACAAGCTTTTCAACTTTCGAGTCGGCTGAGCTCCAATTCTAGACTTACTTCATGCTTGAAATTTGTAAATAATTTGCTTCAAACAGAAAATATATTGATTTTTTGGCATAGAGCTTTTGTCTTGATTGGTCACTTGCTTAGGGTTAGGGTTAGGTTAGGTTAGGCCTTAATTGCTTTCAATTTATAGTTTTTCAGTAACAAGCAAATTTTGGGTAGATTAAACAAATGTGCATCATGACTTCTGAGTTGACTTGACTTGAAATTACTTGATAATCAATCTGGATGCAGGTTTGCCTACATGGAAGAGAATTGTAACAATTGTCTTTCTGTAGTCTCAATCTATCAGTAACATTTGACATGAATCTATCCTGTTTTCTTTGGAAATAGTTTCTCCTACTGTTTTACACATACCCGTAATGTCTTTAAGTCTCTCCTTGAAAGCAGACAATCTATATCATTCAATGTGTATTGCTTTGGCTCTTTATCATATGATTTATGCAAAGGCACACTGGCTTAAATGGGTTAAATTTATAACAAAAAGAGGATCTCGCATTTCTTTCAATGACATTACAATTCAACAAGCAATCACAGTTGTATCAATAATTGTTTTAAATCAGTACCTTTATGTCCTCCGCCTTTCTTTGCGATCTTTAAATAATCTGTTTGTGAGTCAACTTCCAATGAACTATCCAAGTTTACTGGACAAGGACTGCTACAAACTGTTATCATTTCTAAAGGAAAGAGAGAGTTGAGGAAGATTTACTCTGTGATTACCATAACAAATTAGCAAAATTGGTAGCTGGTCTCTGGTGTGAAAAGGAGGTGGGTGAAGGCCATCAGGCTCGTCCTTGAGAGTTATTCTAAGGCACTCTGAAGTACAGGGGGCACCATTTAGCACAAAAAGGACAAACCTTTCTAATTGTGCAATTCTCAAGTTTGTCATTATTTTTTTTAGTTTGCAACAAAAACCACCTTGAAGTAGTCAGTAGACATTTGGGAGCTTACATTATTTCAGGATCCAACATACCTTTTCTTTGCTGTGTATCTTTCACATCAACTCCATCATGACTGTACCACTGTCCATCTGTTTTTTCATAACTGGCAGGTTCAGGTGTTGGTGTATGAGGATCAATTGTCAACAAATCTGAAACAAAAAAAGGAAGAAATCAACATTTTAGTATATCGTCTCATTCATAGACTGTAAAATCTTAACCAAATGGATGTATACATATAATCTTATTGTTATTGTTATGTTTATCATGAACAGCACCATTTTCCATTTTTGACTGGATAGAAAATTATTTTATGAGATATCACCAAAAATTCTCTTTATAAACAACTACATGCACTTCACTTTGTGATGCAATGCAACTTATTTTTAGAGAAAACACCTTTGGTAGAAACCTCCTTCCCTTTTGAAGACAAAGAACATATAGCTAAGGTTGGTTATGTTAAAAGCAGTGCTCTGCTGTTTTTATTTTCCCATTTGCAATGCATCAAAATACGAAGAATCTGAATTAAAAGTTTTTACTTGTTTTACATGAAAAAATGCTCTGTTTAACATAGCATGTTTGTGAATTAATTTAAAAACATCCTAAACATAATTATTAACTAAACACTTACAAAAACCATAGACAAGAACTAAAACGATCCAAAACTGGAAACTTTTTAAAAAAATTGGTGTAATTGAAGTTAACATCATTCCAATCTTTGAAAAAAAGATTGGTAAATGCACAGTTCACTACCAGGTCTGCTGCTGAATCAAACCTTTATTGCACACAATTTTTTACACTTTGGCCTGACATTACTTAGGAGGAATCTACCTTTGTGAGCAGTGTCCATTGTATTGTGACAGGATGATGCTACAAATCTCCAAATAACATTACAGACATTGACACCATCATTTGCTGACTAGTGTTTACCTTTATGTCCTCCTCCTTTCTTTGCAAGTTGTAAGTATTCTCCACAGTTTTCACCAGCAGCTAGGACATCACACTCTTGACTGTTATTAAGACTAGATGACAAGTCTGAAATATACCAATTCAAGATAACATGAACATATACAGTCAAGTGAATATATACAATAAGGTGTATACTGTAAAATATGCATATCCATTTCTTTCTCAAATTGTTTATCAAATCCATTTACATGTACCTATCCCCAATCAGTGAACAAAACTTATAATCCTCACATTCAACAAGAATTACCTCTCCTCTGTTGAGTCTCTTTCACATCCACTCCATTGTGAGTGTACCACTGTCCGTCTGTCTTGTCATAACTGACTGGTTCAGGAGTGGGTTTGTGAGGTTCTACTGTCAACAAGTCTGTTGGCAAATTTACCAGATAAAATTAATTTTCCTTAAACTATAGAAATATGCTATTGGTGAACCTTATTTATTGTTGCCATAATATCCTAAAACCAAATATTATGGTTCTCAAAGAAAAGGTTATTCCCTGTGTAGCCATTAGTAACTAAAGAAAATTACATTTTAAAAGTAAAATCAACAAAGTTTTATAATGGATTAGAATATGATTGTTTTTCCACAATATAAGGTACATTCAACTATCACAAATCATTTCTGATCAGAATGTTCTATGTGCAATAATGCTGGTTTTGCCGAACAATGGAGTCCATTGTTCATGTGTTGCTACCTTTGTATCAAGATGGTTCACTGCTATTAGCTACACAACACCTCAACCAATTAACAATTGGTTCATACATTGTGCGTGCGTTCATCAAGATATGAAGTACACGGGAAGTTTGGAGAGCACGAAAGATGCATAAGAGTTGCTCAAGGCTGGGCCTCAAACAACTCTAGCTTCTTGAGTGCTCTCCAAACTTCCCAAGTGCTCCATACCTTGATGAACACACAGCTGACACATGAACCAATTGTTTTATAACATTTTCAACCCGATGGAAAATTTTTTTCTTAAGGGATTTGTTTGCTGACGTCATGAGCATGCACAGTAGGAATATGAAGCACACTCGCACAATTGAATTTGATTAGACAAATTTACTAACTATGTTATAATTATGCTTAACAACAATGAGAGCGGATTTGAAGTTGAGATTTGTGTAATCAAAAAACACTGGTTAAAAGTATAGAAGATCCATGAAGCAAGAACTTCAACTTGTGGCATTCACCATTACAACCACAATAAACAACCAATCTTTGATATGAAAAATTATTCTTCAAACCCATCACACTTCTTCTTTTTTTATCAAAAACCCTAACCTAGAGTTAAAATATAATGCTGATCCAGATGTAGGCATCATAATTCCAGCCATGCTATGTTTACATTTAAGACTGACCTTTATGCCCTCCACCTTTCTTAGCAGTCTTCAGGTAATCTGTATCTATCTCTATATCTATTGAACTTGCTGTACTTGATGGACGTGGGCTCTTAGGCAGGGTAACCATTTCTAAAAAGAGTAAACAGGAATAAAACTTAACAGATATTGAGGCATAGGAACTGTTCATCAGAGTATCTAGCCCAAACTGGTGCAATAACTTCATCCAGTCCTTGAGAAAAAAAGCCATGAAAACTCAGAACCCTTCCTCCACATCATTTACATTTATTTTAATGGATGCGCCTGTCTGTGTTTTAAAGATATGAAAACATGAGAGAGTAGGTAACGTTTGATTGAATATATATACTTCCTGGTAAGGCACTCCAATACTTTCAAACTTTCAGAATTGTAGTTGAGTTGGCACTTAATGATACAAACATTATTAAGTAATCAACACACTAAAGGACACAATGATGCAGTCACAAATATACAGCTGTGTGCCCATGATAGACCAAAGAACAAGGTGGCATAATGAACAAGTTTTGAAACATAACTTTCCTAGGTAAGACTGTGAGTCTACTGGTGTACCTTTAACATACTTATGCTACTTATTATTCATGACAACTTGATCCGTTGGTCAGTTTTAATCGCTATTTATACAATGTGAGTAAATTCATAAAAGCAGACCCATAAATGAAGCTTCAGTGCATTAAAGTATGTTTCATGGAGACTGACAAGGCAACAGCTTTTAAGTGAAGCTGTGATTGTTTTCAGTTCTACCTTTCCTCCCTTGTGTTTCTTTAATATCCACACCATCATGAGTGTACCACTGTCCATCTGTCTTTTCATAATTGACCTGTTCAGGGGAGGTTAGGTGAGGTTCCATTGACAACAGATCTAAGGCAGGAAATAATACAAAAATAATGAAATAAATAATTAAAAATGAATACCTCTTACATTTATAGTAGATCCACTGATTACACCTAAAGGTGCTAAAGAGGCTCCTCAAGAACCTCCTCAAGAACCTAATGCCTCAAATCAGACGCTATCTTTGCCAACTTTAGCAAAAAAACTCATTCAAATATCTCCTTTTCTCCTCTTAGTTATCATTGAGTGGGTCAAAACCTGACAATGTTCCAAAATAATGTTGCCTTCATTTCTTACAAAAATAATTTCCTATTCTGTTTGCTGCAGAAGTTACTCTCTCAACAATTTCTATACAAACCCTATAATCAAAGATAAGCTGGAGTAATGAGTAGCACTTAATACTAAAAATAAGGAATGGAAAATTAGTAAGCATATGACATCTCATGAATGTCAATGTATCAAGCTGAGGGATGCATGTTTGATCAGAAAATGAACTCTTTGCCTTCCTGATAACAGTCAACTAAATGCAAATAATGCCCAAATCCCCAAGTTAGTAACATGGTCCTTACAAGCAATAATTACTGTAGTGTGAACTGGAAACCCTTAAATTTCAATTTGAATGTGTTGACATGGGTACCTACATGTACTTTGGAATATTTCAACACTCATCAATTAAAAAATAAAAGTAATTTATTGCAAAGTCTGTCATCTGTTTCCTTTTGTAGGGGGTGAATTCTTAACGATGTAACGATGTTGTAATGTACACCAGAACAAGGAAACAAGTTTGGGAAATATCATTGGTCATTTTTGGAAGTTTTTTTGACAAGTGCCAATAAGTATCCCTGGGTAATTAAACTGTACTCTGTGGGAAAATCTACCTACATACCAAAATAACCAAACTGTTTCTACTAAAGGGAAATGGGCACATGAGGTACAGAGGAATACTGGCATGAATGGAAATTCTTCAGCCACACTCTCCTGTTGCTGCTATACCACATTTTAAATTATTGCAATCTTGGGAATAGTTATACCATAAATACTGTATTGCATACATAGCTGTGTATATCAGTGAAAACCCTGTCGTCCTCACCTTTATGCCCTCCCCCTTTCCTTGCAGTCTGCAGGTATTCTGTCTCAGCTTTACACTCACTTGCAGAATCGCTAAATGTTCGACGACGATTCTGACCAGATCCAGAGTCTGATGAAAGAAGAAACCATGTTAAGCTATATACCCTGACTGAAATGTACATAATAGAATGGCTATGTTTATAACTGTTTGAAACTAGAAAGCAATCTAACTTCCGACCAGATTTTTCAACTCACTAAACTGAAAATCCCTCATCATAATATTTCACAAAAGCAGCAAAAGCTGGGTCTACAATGTTACTTAAAAGTAATTTCTGTACTATTCCTTGACACTTTTTGTTCATGTATTTCAACTGAAAAGTCCACTCATAATATTGCACAAAAGCAGCAAAAGCTGGGTTTACAATGTCACTTAAAAGTACTTTCTGTATTATTCCTTGATGCTTTTTGATCATGTATTTCAACTGAAAATCCCACCCTTGACACTTTTTGTTCATGTATTTCAAACAAGCTTAAGGATAACAAGTGGAACATGACACAGACATGAAAAATAGCAAACAGAATTCTTCTACATGCATTCCACCTTTCTTACTTTTACACAATTAAGTCAATGATTTATAAGAGGATTATTATGAGCACTGATATAATTTATAGAGTAAACAGGAGCTCTAAAGATTTCAAAGATTAAACCTAAACAAGAGTTGTTCCTAACATGTACATGTAGATGCACTTGACAAGTTTTTTAGGGGGATAAAAGTACCCTGTGTGGTATACATCAAATTTTTTGAGTAAGAAGCATACTGTATCTACTCTCTTTATGGAATCTGAATCATACTTTACCTTGTGGTCCATCTCTGATTACCATGTCATCTTGATTGTACCAGTCCCATTGTTTTTTTTCATACTGTTTTGGTTCAGGTGAAGGAGTATGAGCTTGAATGCTCAATAAATCTGCAGACAACATGACAATTATATAAACAAGCATAAGTCATAAGTCTTTAAACCATTGAACTACTGTGGTCAACAAATGTTCACTGTGCCATACAACAAGTTCCAATATATTTGCATATGAGTTACATGTAACTTATTTAATAAATGTGAATTGCCCTTAGTTTTGCTGTATTCAGTACATGGGGTTACATCACCTAGTCCAACCCTTCAATATACATCCAACGTTTATTTGTTTATTCATTTATTAGCAATTATATTAATGCAGGCTGGCCCAGTTCAGCTTCAAGCAGGTTTGAATGGGGGCCTGCTTAGGACATATTGAGTAAAACATGATGTATCTAGAAATAAAAAATACAAAAGAAGCCTACAACACAAATTACAATTGACACATAGGATATACAATATATATGTTACATTACAAAGTACATTACACCAATTACATAAATGAAATTTGAGAAATCTTTTGAAAATTAGGCAGTGAAGTTACGTTTTGCAGTTTACTAGTTAGAGTAATCCACACCTTTGCCCCTTTGTAGCAAAAAGAACCTTAATATTTGGATGTTTTGGCCAAGGACAATCACAAAAGATCTCTATATCAGGTATTGTAGGCATGATATTGGCTAGAAAAACTAAATCCATACAAAAGATAGGCAGGCATGAGACTGTGCAGGCACTTAAACACTTGTAGGCAAGTGTGATATTTCCTGTGATTTTCTAAGGAGGGCCAGCTAAAAGTACATGTGCTGCCTGTATTTTCTACTTTACACCCTTCCATGGTACAAGCTGCTCACAGTTGCAATTTGTCCAGGTGTGTTTTGCAATTTGTCCATGAGCATTATACAGGTCTCCCGAGAAATGATATAGCAGATATCAAGGAGGCAATATGGTCAACTGCATGGTAGACCCTACTAAGACCCTAAAGGTAAACCCTAAAAGTCTTGTCAAACGCTATTTAAGATGCTAAAAGTGACAAATCTCAAGAGCCCTTGATGTGTTCCTACAAACCCTTTAATGTTCAACTCTGCAAAAGTGAAAAAAATCTGTACACAAGACTGGGCAGTAGATACTATTAAATAACAAAAAGATTTGTGCTCAGTTACACACAATGTCAAAGATAAGCTTGGATTTACCAGTAAGCAGAATGCAAAAATACAAATAAGTGATCAGAGATAAATGTTCCAATATGGGTCATCAGCTAGGTACCTTTATGTCCTCCACCTTTCTTGGCCAGGTCAAGATAATCTGTGTGCTTTCCTCCAGCAGCTAGTTGTGCATCATCACCGTTATGGAGTAAACCATTCAAGGCCAAAGACAAGTCTGTTATGGAAAAGAAACCACCACAATTATCAAATTAGCAAGTTTGCAAATTTCGTTTGCTAGAGTACAATCAAAGAGCTACCAAACACTTCCAAGAATTCTAAATCATACATGAGTCTTATAACAGTTCATTCCTATATATCATCAAGAGGATAATTTACAATACTCAAACAGATTCATGTAAACCTACAAATTTGGGGGAGGGGGGGATGTACAACACAACTATATATGATCTTATTAAAGGTATAATAAAATCTTACAGATCTTTGTCAAAGGGTGGTTAACACATTTCTCCAGGGCAAGATGCAAAATCCAGTACATAGATTGACAGAATTAAAAAATTTCCCTTTTAAATAGTCGCCTCATCAAGTTACAATGGTAATGACAATGCTCCAGTGATGTATAGAAAGAAATAACCCATATCATTGGTTTGTCATCAACTGGTTTATTTCAATAGTAGCAGTCATCATGAAGGCCATGGGTAATTGCAGTTCTTTTACAATCAACTAATAATATGCATAAGGCTGACCAGCTTCAATTCATGAGGGGAAATACAATTTGTGTCAAAATTTACAAATGATACTGCACCTTTCCTCTGTTGGGTCTCTTTCACATCCACTCCATCCTGTGTATACCACTGTCCATCCTTCTTGGTGTATTTGACTGGTTCAGGAGTGGGTGTGTGGGGAACTACTGTTAATAAATCTAATATTTAAGAGGAACAGTCAAAACTACAAACAACTAATAAGCATGGATGCTGAAGTAGTTTTACAAAAATGTTTATTAGTACTTACAGGAGAATGTGTTTATATGTAGCACCAAAGAGCTGACTATGAAAAATGACTAACACAACTAGGATTCCAAGGAATATTGATGCATTTGGCAGAAACAAATCATGTAATTATACCTCAATTTCTTTGAAGCTTGCCAATGCCTAGCAAGTCTTCATGTAACTTTGCCCCAAAATGAAAATCCATCATTGAGTTTTCATTTTAGGGCAAAGTTACATTATTTTTTGTGGTTTTGAAGACTACACCGCATGGACATAATGACACTAGCGGTACTAGAAAATTATTCAACAAGTTAATCAATTAAAAACAAAAGATTACTTTGAGAATTCCTGACCAAACCCCAAACTTCATCAACATTGTTACTTGTGTTAAGATCTTCTAAGGGTTACCTTTACGCCCTCCACCTTTCTTTGCAAGTTGAAGATATTCTGTATCCGTCTCTATGTCTACTGAGCTTTTAGCAGATGAAGATAGTTGATCCCTGGACAATGTAATCATTTCTAAGAGAAGGTATTAGAAAGTGAACAATAAAATTTTACTACTGTGAAATTTTTATGATTCCACCCCCCACCCCCCACCCCACATTATGATATTAATAATACAAGTTGCGATAAGATGTAATGTCAAAGAACTCTCACCTTTCTTTTGTTGAGTGTCCTTGACATCCACTCCATCATGGGTATACCACTGTCCATCCTTCTTGTCATATCTGACTGGTTCAGGAGTGGGTGTGTGGGGTTCTACTTTTAACAGATCTGTAGAATGAAAATTATTTGTTGGTTTACTATCACTCAGGTTTTAAATTGTCACAAACCCTGGTCTTAAACTGAAAACTCCAGTTTGGGACAATAACTCTGACTTATATGACCACCAGAGCCCAAGTATGCTTTGGCCACTGTTTCATAACCAAACTCTAAAAAAAAAAAAAAAAACCTAACTCGATAACCTCATGTGGCAAATGTAATTGGCTCAGAATTACTATAATTTTACATCATTGGAAATTCAAACCCTAAATGAATTTAGATAACAAAGGCTACAGCTGGAGCAACCAATTTAATAATAGTGATAACGAAAAAAATGTGAGTAACATTATTTATTTCATCAAAACTATTTTTGGTGGGAGCTCATTGCCTAAAAGAATCTTCAGTGAGGCCCACAACAAAAAAGTGTCCCATGAGGCACACCCAATGCACTCTTCTGTGATCTGTTATTGTATACGCCCACAGCAAAATGGAATTTACTTGTTTTATATGGAAAAAAAATGGTGTTGGTAGTGAAATCTTCTATGCATCTGTAAGAACCAATCAAAATGTACAATTCAGCTTATCACATAAAGTGTTTTAGACTCTAAATTTTGCTTGTCTTGAAGTCATGCACTTTGAAGTTGGGGCAGTTTTAATCAATTTCTTGAAGCATATTCCATAACAAAGTCTTACATTGTACCCTAACTTAACTCTCTCAAAAACATACTTTATACTCTCAGCACTCTTAAATTGAGGAATAAAACTTCCCAAAATGACCCTGCTGGTTTATTTTGAAATGTTTTACAAAGTTCATGTAGTCTTTGTAAAGTAGCTCTGTCAAATTTGTAACATGAAGGGAGGAAGTTACAAGTAGCCGGTTTATGTTGGTTTCTGTAGTTCACGGTCATCTCCTTTATGGTAAACAACTGCATGGACTGACATTTTATTTTAAAAAAATTAAACACAAACCTGCATGTCCACCACCTTTCTTTGCCATCCGAAGGTAATCAGTATCATTTTCTCTAGTACCATTAATTGCCATATACCCATTCAAACCAGACGGTGAGGCTGAAAAATCTATAAATGGCCAACCAGTATTTTAAACATATATTTAAGATGTATGATGTTAAAAACTTGAAAAACTGTTTGAGAGGTCTAGCTGAGTTGATCACTTTGTTCATTCTAATAAACTGCTTTCAATGGGTTTCATCATTGTACAATAATTTGCAAAAGTAGTGAAAGCCAAATCTGGAAAAGGTTACAAATTTGGGGATTTCAATGAAATATGATGAACCTTAGTTCACAGCCAAATTTTTGTAGAACTCCATTGTTTTGGCTGATGTGTGTTTTTAAGTGCTATTTTCCACACAAGTTTAAGCAGAAGCATGCCAATTTTTCTGACAATTAACCCTGTCTCTGCACTCTTCCTTGTACTGTCAAATAAGAAGTCATCATGGTAAAAATAATTGTACCTGATTGCAATGTGATAGATTCATTATGGTGTATCACCATGACTGAGGTGAACTATGTGAATTTGAAAAAGCAACATAGTGAAAAGTCTTTCAGCTACAGGCTTTGAAAGTGTTTCCTTTGAGTGAACACATTGCTTTACATGTTTACATGTTGATTTCACAGCTTTTTGGGCAAAATTTCTTCTCAAATTCCAGACAACAAAAAATCAAATTTGTGCATTTCACTTGTTACACATACTTTTGCACAATATTGTACTTTTGGTTGTTTCTCTTTACACATCAACATCACATCCAGATCATGATGCCTAAAATAAGCAACTTACAGTGTATATTTACAGAAATCATTAATGATTGGCCTTACACTCACATCTCTCTCAATTTTTACTTTGACTTTTCAGTTATTATACAACGATATCCGTCTTTGTACAATATTAACATTTTGGGGAGTTATAAAATATATCTATGCTTACAAGACTTATGAGACCTCAAATGTACTTACAGACAGGAAGGACCACCATTTTTATTAATATTATTTTGAAAAAAAAACATCTTTCTCTGGTCATTGACCACAAACCTTCATAACCAAGACTATCAACATATAAGTCTTGTCCTTCCACATCTGACAGGCCCCTTTGTGTGTTTGGGATGGAATCTTCTTCCTCCCTCAGTGAAGAAAAGTCTAATGCAAGAGGAGTTGGCAGACGGGAATCCCAAGACTCATCCAAGGAGGAATAATCTTAAAATAAAATTGAGGATTACACATTTATTAGCAAAAACAAAGAGGCCACTGACCACAGGGATTGGGAAGACTGTGCACCATGAAGTAATGAAAATAGAAATTTTCTGGAAAATGTTTAGAAGATTTGTAGACTACCAAAAAGAGTTCTGGAAAGCAGACAAATATAGATTAACAGTACGGCTGTCAGAGGAAACCACAGAAAACATACTGCTTGCTTTAACCTCTGTAACCAGTTTTTTCAAGACAAATTTATGTGAATAAGCTAATTTTTACCTAAATTATATTAATAATGAGTTGAGAACTTGAGAAAGACAAGGTTTAGGTAACTTCCTGGTAACCAATCCCATGAATGACCATGCTCAACCTAATCTAATTGTTCAGAACAATGCATAAATTCCAGTAACATGCCTCAAGAGGCATAAAAAACAATTTTTTAACAAATATATATTTATGCACAGCATTGTTTTCATTCCTGATATAAAGCCATTGTTATAAAACCCTTGGTGTAGAGAACTATCACTTTTCACATGTTCTTTATAAGATAGCAGGCAATTGTGCTGTCAGCAAGATCAATGTTTTCCTCGCAGGACAAACAATAAACTTTGCCACAACCACACAGTTAATTTTTCTAGATATGGCTTTCCTGATATCTCACAACCAAATTTGTGTTTCTATTCAGCATTACAAGTAACATGAAACTAAATAACATTATCCATTCTTTTACAAAATAAATTGTGTTTGAAAATTACTCCTCTGTATTAATATGCAAGTATTTCTTGACACACATTGAGAAAAAATTAAGAAAAAAACTAAACACGCAAAGGCCATCAAATAAGATTAAGTTATTTACGAAACATTCTACCTGTTTAGATCAGGTTGGCAATTAAGCCACGACATGAATTCCAATCTCACACAGCAGCATGATTTTAAGAGTTGCCAGTAATGAATCTAAAGATAACAAGTTCATTTCTCCTGTGGTAACAGGTGGATTTTTTACCCTGTGGTTCCTGGGAAATCTAATGTATTAGCAAATTGCGACAAAAATAATTTTGATAACGAGTTGAAATAATTCTAAACAAACCCTTAAATTACAGTCTGATCGAATTTGAAAGCACTATCTGAATTGATATCGACATTTCAAGTGAGTTGTGGCGAGATTGTGATTTATTTGGGTTTGTTATTCAACATTAGGCGTCAAGTTTGGTCTTTGTGCAGTGATAGTCAAGTAAACAATTTAGCAAGACAAAAGCTAGGCTTTGCATAATTTACGACCACTTTATGTAGTGTGAGACGAAACAAACCGAACGCATTTCTCGAAGGTAATAAGCGATATGGTGACCCTCCGGGGAGGTAAATGTTTCCTGTCGTCCCATAAGAGTTGAGCTAACACGACAAAATAGTTCTCACTTGATGCCAGACAGTATATGATCGTTTACAAATAACCTTGAAAACTGAACAAATAGACCGAGAGCATTCGAAACCGTTGCCAACTCGTGCTATGGAATACCCCGTAGCGACGCTAGTTAAAGGTTGAGACCCTTTGGACCACGAATTGTTAATTACCATCAATCATCACGCATTTGCAACTAAAGAAAAACCTCTTTGGAGGAGAAAACAACCACAAAGTTTGGAAAACAGATAAAATATATTTTTTCAACGGCCTATTACTTAAACCTTCTCCCGTCTCCTCCACGATTGATAACTAGAGAAAACAAATAGCAATGACGCGCAAAATGAAATTTGTGTCACACAGAATAATTTCTCGCTTTCTTGAGCACATCACAGGAATCACAGCTCAGCTTAAAATATTGCCAGGATTTTACGGTTTTTAACGATCGCTTTGTTTATCAGCCCCTCCTACCACAAATTATTATCCGCTTTCGCGTTATAAGATTATCATATGTAGATGAATTCTGACGAGCAGCGGAAAATAGGTCTGACACAAGCATTCCACGTAGTTAAAACTCGCTCGTTACACGACGATGGCTTACTTTTCGATTAAACTTGACACTCCACAAAAATGAAATCTTTACTCCATTTAAAAAATAGAAAAAGTCAACGAATGGCCTCTTAGACAGCATTTGGACAACTAATGAACCCTAAACAGATTCGTGAAATTTAGAATAAATAATTGACGGCCAAGAAACCGCATCTCGCTCCAGCTTTGGAACCGATGGTGTTCATAGTTAAGCACCGTGCTCGTTTTGTGGCGAATCTCGAAACCAATATGAAATAAAACATCTGAAGTAACAAACTAAAAATATGACGTTCAAGTAAGCAGTAAAGATCGTGCAAAATAAAAACAGTTAAATATCGTGCGTCCAAAGTTAACGACGTCTCACAAGCAGGGAGACATATGCCCAGCTGAAAGGCTTGTGTTCGCCGTCCGCTTTCCACCAGACAAATTACTGATGGCTAAAAAAATTACACCAGAAGAAACGTAGACTACTCACCATCTATAGACTGGTTTTGCGGGGAGAGAACCTCCATATCCCGTAAAAAAGAGAACTCGCTCTGAACGACGAACGCAGCTTCCTGCGGCGAAACGGAAATTATTCACCTTTACTATGTTTTCTTCAAGCAACACGCGTTTAGGCCACTGACAACCGCGTGGGACCTGACACCCTTATCAACAACTAACAGCTGTCAGGGGAGGACTAAATTGAGCTAGTTGTTTCTTGCCACTTTTGAAATTTTAAAACAGGTCTGCTGATTTCTTGTGATAAAAACTTATCAAATATTTTCTTAGTTTAGACTCAATACATTTTCTTAAACTTCAAACATTTCCTTTGTTAGTTTTTCTCACAATAAATTTTAACTTATAACCCTTCCCCCGACAAATTTATAATGTCGCTGTGTTTGCCAAGCGATTGCGTTGGCGCGGAATTTGACGGGACTTGTCCTATATTATATGATTAATGTTGGAATACGTATCCGTGACTGTCTGAAGCTCCGTCATTACCAAAATTAACACATCGGACAATAAAGTCAGCCCTGAGGAAAAACACGTTCTAATGGCTGACCAATATTTCCTCGCGTAATTGCAAAAGTTTGTTTAAAAAATAAAAAGCCTAGAAACAATTGGAAATTCTTAATTATCCAAGAAACTATCGCAACAATAAGACTCCCGCGACGCTAATAAGCTATTTGTCATTGAAGACATTGAAATATGGGTTTGCCACTATAATGGAGTTTTTAAAACTGGAAAGGAAGATGTGTCACTTTCTGGCACGAAAATCTTGCTTAGCTTAAAAATTAATTAAATAGGACGATGATAATCATCTGTGGCGACAAAATTTCCAAAGGATTCTTTGCACAAGTTTTATTCCGTCACCTATGTTTATTTGTATATTTATCCATGCATTAAAAGTTCATGTTTCCACGACACAAAAACTGCTCGTCCAATTTGAGTGGGAGCGTGTTTACATAATTTTGACGAGGATATTGAAATTAAAAAAAATGACAGACTTCCCTGTTGGGCAGCCGAAATGAAATGTATGATTTTGAACATTTTCGTTAATTCGTCTTCGTCACTAACTGGACATTGAAAAGCGTTCTTTATAAGAACTGGGAAACTAAAAGTTATCCGCAAATTGATTTATAACCATGACCGATTTGTTGCAATACATGTGGAGAAATGTAAACAAACCAGAAACTAAAAATAGCATCTAAAAAATAATGTGGGAATCATATCCTCAAGACTATTCCATTTTACACTCAAATATTATAATGAGAGATTTAAGTACCAGTCCTTCCCCTGGTGAATCGCTTATTCGATGACGATTTCTAATTTAGTTATGTTCACTTATTTAAAGCTTACAGCTGAAACTCTCTTGATAGAAAAAATGAGCCAAGTCTAATTTAACTTTCAATCCAGATTTTGAAATTTAATATTTTAAGTACTCAAATTTGTTACCAAGTATTCACAAAGGAGTCGAATTTTCCAGAGGTAAACGAGAACTGACACGGCAGTGTTAAGTGCGGTAACCTGCTAAGTCACTCGACCGTTTGTTCTCATGAGAACGACTCTTGATCAGGGTTGACGGAACCAGCCAAGCGAACAGTTGAACTTTAAACACAAGAATTTTATGAAGATTACGAGATTAGTTTAGAAATATGTTCTGCTCGATTTGGTCCACCTGGTTGCCCCGATAGACATGTTGTGGGGAAATTAAAATTGGGCTTGACCTCAATCAGTCGGAACCGAGATGATCTTGACCGTTTTTAAAAGAAAGATTTGAATCAAACAGAAACATAACCCAACAAATTTGTTAGATTAGAGATAATCGACATGTTTTATTTTTATAAAGTGATCGTCTCAGGAAACATATTTCAACAAGGTCTGTCTTTTACTGAATGAGTAAAAGGAAATATGTGATTGAACGTCACTTCCTGGGCGTTACCCCACGTTAGTCGTTCTACGTGATGAACTGTTTCATTTTAAACTCTGAGATGATCTTTAAAGAGGTTTTACCCGTACTGATCATACTTTTATCGCCTTCGAGTAACTTGAAACTAAGTCCAAATCACATACATTTAAGATTAAGAGTCAAACGAATCTCTTGAAAGATTAAGAACAGCATAAAAAAAATCATGCCACTATCGCCCCACGGCCAAGATGACAAACGACAATATTAAGCTTGATTAGAGGGCAAAGACAGCTGCATCCATGTCCTTGTCGATATGTTTTAAAGAATGTTTTGAGTTTAGTTTTCCTTAAGACCTACCTGAGAGAGAGGACCTTAGGCAGTAATTGATCTGTTGGCAATAACCACTAAGTGTGTTTAAATAGGACTCGTACGATAAGAACATGGAGACAATAGCAACAGTGACATCATCTATAACAACAAACGCTTTACAGCAAGGTGTCTGAGTCAGACATGTGGATTGTCCATCGCCGTATGGTAATTTCGTTTGAATAAAATTCAAATTGCTTCCTTTCTCTGAAGTTACCACCATTCAAATTCAACAGAGAAGCAAAATGATCTCACTGACCTGTCCTCTGAGCGCTGTAGCTGAAGTAACTACCTCGCAGAGAATAATAAAGTTTGCTTTCGCCTCCCTTTACATAAATTACTCAGGGACTATAATATTAAGAACTAAGCTCTCTCAGAATCCTTTTGTAATTGATTAACAACTTGTAAACCCTCTAAATAACCTCGACGCGGCAAAAAAAAAGTTAAATGAATGGAGAGAATAAATAATACCTTGGATAAAATATCATGATGGTAGACGTATAGACTTTTAGCGCACAAAGGTTCCTACAATACACGAGAAGGAAACAAAAGAACAAAAGCAGCAAATTCTGTTCACAAACGGCGACCGCTTCGTCTGGTGCTCCAGAAACAAACGCCTTCGACCACTCCGCCATGCAAATAAAGCGGCTCAGTTTAGCAATACTGTAGTTTCGTAATCCTTTAGTCTCCGACGTAGATTACTGAACTCGATTCGAGAAAAATTTTAAAATCCATCCGTGAACCGTGTGACTCTATCAAATCAGCTTACAAGGAAGTCAATTGAAGGAAATTTTTGCTGGAATATCCTACATTTAGTACAGAAGTATCATGCCCAAAGAAAGGATCCCGCAACAATGCAATGCGTAAGGAGAATGGAAACATGTACTGAGATTATTTCGTGGAAATAAAAGCATTTTGTTTGATTATCGCTATTCAGTAGTTAAAGTTATAATATCTTTCGCATCCTTTGAAAGGAAATAAGTAATGAATCTATTTCAATTTTGTCAGGAAATGATCAGACCGCTATTTTTTATCTGCGGCTTTAAAGTTGATCATCCTAAGAATGGGAACGAAGCCAGTGACAGGCACTCAGTGAGCGAGAGCTGAGCAAATGATAAACGTTCCGGGGAAAGCGACTTCATACTGCGAGTATTGGCTAAGTTGGATGAGGTGATAACTAAGAGCCATTGTTGTTGTCAAAATCTACCGAAGGAGTCAGCTGCCCTTCGAAGATCTTAAAGATCTATTGAAATGAAAATGAGTCAACATGTGAGAAAAGATGGAACATAGCTACCAAGAACACAGATTGGCATTTTAATTAAAACATTATAATCAACAAAAATTGAACGCTTCTGGAAAGTAATTGAAAACGACTTAAGCCGAGGACAGATTTCAAGCAAGGGGCGCTTATCTACTGGCTTTTATTGAACTAGAAAGTACATAAGCATTCGGACCACTTTAGCTTAGATGTAATAGATACTTCACCGCCAAAAGAAGGTTAGATTAGCATTCAGTATTGATTAATGTTGTTCTAAAATTTATAATATTAAATACAATGGACTCCCAAAAGGTGACTAACTTTAAGACTTGGCTGATGATGGTTTCGGAAAAATCAGACCTGACTGGTATGAGTTGTGTCGAACTGAGTAATAAGTATAAAGCACAAGAGCTAAAAACTGACACGGTATCGATCATTCAGTAGAGATAACTCAAGTTAAAATACAAAACTTATCACTCACCGATTTCTTTGTTTGCTTGTTAAACACAGACCTCTTTGTGATTTCGTCATCAAACCCTTGTACAATGAGGTCCTTGAGGAAAAGTAACCAAAACTGTTAACTGTGAATATGTGAAAATCATAAATAAGGCCTGATGCTGCTCAAGTAGAATTAATTACTGCGAAGATTGCTTTCATATTAACCTCTTTATCCGCAAATTACATATATGATTTTCATGCATTCATAGTTATTGTCATTATCGTTATCATCTTGATAATTATTGTCATCATCATTATTACAATTTTCATGACTTTTCAAGTTCAGGTAAGTCTCATTGTTCATGTCCTGGCTTGTTTCAAGTGGATGAAATTTAGGTGACTTTTTTTTCTATTCATTTCTGTGATCAATTCAATTAAAAAGCAGTTTTCACAGAGAGATATTTGCTGCTTTCTGTAGTGTCTACAAGGACAGAATCTACTGGAGGACTTATGAGCAACTCAGCTGGATAGAAGAGGCTCCTGCTGAAATACACATCTTTACGTGGTTACTTCAGTAGCCAGCGCTAGGTTGCTTTCCTCATAAACTACTTGACTTATGCACACTTGGAAGTGTTACTGAAAGGGAAAAAATAGAGTTTGATACACAGACTCTTTGATCCTACACTTAAACTGATCGTAGCCTCTTAACCACGGTCACTTTCTTGACTTACATATATATATATTAGTGTATAAACTGATTAAATGAAAGACTGGATGACCCTTTGTCATGTCATTTAATCCATGAGACGATGTTCACCGGCCGATAAAAAAAAAACTGACAGTGCTAGTTTAGTGAGCTAGCGCGCTTTCAACTGGCCTGCAAAAGAAAATAAATTACGGTAACGCATCCCTTTTATTACTTGGATATTTCTTATAATCGTCTGTGCGTATACAACAAGGTTCCGCGTTTGAGGAATAAAACCCGGAGTGTGGTATCAATATACATGAAGACGTTAATCCGACTCCTGCGACCTTTGATGCCACGAATGCTGAAGTGTACTGAGGCAAGAAGAACACCTTTCACATTACCTGGAACTCAAGACAAGGAAACTACTCCAATTCACACGTTAGATCTTGCCAAAATGAAAATAAAAACAAAGCAAAACAAAACAACATCATGAGTCGAACGAGTACTTTAATTTGTGATTTTACAGATGAATTGCAATCGGTACAATCAAAAGCCTTATTTAATTTTTTTTGTTACTGAATCCCAACTAGAATTGTTAACTCTACACCGTTAGAACTAAAGGAGCGTTCTTCGTTCTCTTGCAAAATAACAATATTTATTGGAAAAAACGAACTTTGAAAAACTTAAGAAATATTAGGAAGTTATTTTCAATGTTCCTTGAGAAGGCGATGGAGTCAAGTATCATAAAGAAAAATCTCAAAGCAAACAAAAAACAATACTTATCAAATAGGCAGAAAGATGTGTATGGAGGTAAGATAAAACTCACTTGACAATTAAACAGATGGTGAGTGACAAGCATCCACCCCAATACTTAATGAAAAACATACATCATAATCAGGTACTCAAGCGTGCTTCCTAATACTATTATGCATGCTTACGGCGCCAGGAGACAAGTACCTCGAGTTTGAAATTTTCCCACCACAGTTCCCGTCCAGCTTAGCTACGAGTTTTGAGATTTTTTATTAAACATTTTGGCTTTGCTGTTTAGTTATAATTAGTTATAGTTTTCAGTTAGTGCGCGGTGTTTTGGTAAACCCGAAAAATGTGCACCTCAACTTTGAACTGTGATCACCAAGTTAATCTAAAATTTTGATTTCTGAGTAGATTTGAACCAGTCAAAACACAGAAATGGTTAAGGTTGTGCCCCTGACTGATGAAAAAGCCAGAGAGTTATGAAATAGGGAAGGATAAGGAAAAAGTCAACCTCGCAGCCTTACTTACATTATGAGAGCAATAGAAGCCCACCTATTGGTAGTGGGGACCTAACCAGTCTATAGGCCTGTAGTCCCGGGCCTACAATTTTTCCGCTCCTTTAATTTTTATAATATGACTCTAAAAAATATTGGAAAAAAATGAACTTTCGTAGGGAACAGACCGACAACAAGTCGAAAAGCCGGCCACGCCCTTGGTTGGTGTCCGAGACAGTGTTGACAATGAGTTATTTTACGCTTTCAGATAAATATACGTGGGATATGTATGTGACCATGAGACCTCGACCGCCTACATTGAGTACGCAAATCCCACAATTTCCACATGAAATTCCTGCACCATATCCGTGAGGTATCATGAAAGCACCCAATCAAAGGGGAATTCCTTTATTGTCGCTACCCTTCTTGTTTTTGCGATGTACGTAAAATGAACGATGAAGGGTCATGAAGGCAGTATCCCCTGCTAGATGGGCACTACGACGAATTGACAGAATGGGAAGCGTCCACTCAGGAGACCAAAATTTTTTACTACAAGGACATGTATGAAATGGAAATGAACTTGGCCTCCGCGTGGACTGCAGGGGAATGACGGAAATATGCCAATGTTGCCTCTGGAGAGACCTGGCGTAAGGATTAGGTTTGATATGTAAGACACAATTAAGTTGGGAACAAGAAATGACTTTGGCAACAGAGGTGAAAAAGCGAAGAGTATTGGCAGTTCTGAAATTCTAGCACAGAATCTAGGGCATATTTTTGCCAAACCTAAGGATCC